CTTGGGAGGAACACTTCTCCTTTCGTTTTGCCTGCTGATTAATTGGTCTCCAGGGGCTCACATGTTGCGTAAACTTTCCACGCGAAATACATAGTTTCCCTTGTTTGTGTTTTACATGAGTTTTGCAGCTAGCCAGCCTAATTTCTCTGCATCCAAAAAGATGTGGCAAGTAGCAACATGTTCTTGTCCTTCGATATTCACAGTTATCGATTACATATGAAGTTGCAAGTCAGTAAAGTTGTGATGCATAACACGAAGTGTGTAGTTAAAAGAAGGGAAGGGAGAATTGAAGTACAGTATGTTTGTAATGTGTGTGAAGAATATCACACAGCAGAAGAGACGGCGTTATCAAATATTTATTTATCACTTAAACATAGTATATATGCCAGAATCCTTTCCAACCATTTTTTCCTTCCTCCCCACTTTTAACCTAATCCATCTTTTTTCTTTCGCTTGGTACCACCATAAATCAGTTGCCATGGAAATTAACGCCACTCGAATGATGGCTTTTTCCATGGAGATGAAGTCAACAACCTTGTTCTCACATCCCTGGGAATGGGAGGTCTGGGAAAGGCAGTCATCTGTTTTGAACTCACAAACCAGACAGCAGTGATGTGAGCTGTATTAATGGATTACAAACACAATGTGTATTACCATACTGCAGTTACAAAACATTGCAAGCTCTGAAGAAGAGTATTATGAGGTTACACAAATAAGTTACAGTCTTGCATAGATTCACACACATACATCATGATTCTACATCTGTACTGGGGCTGCAGTTTCTGAAAACTAGTGCTGACAGAACTTCCTGCTTAATGCTATTGTTAAATGCTATTGTCATGGACACTCCAGCATTGACTCCATCCATACATTGGACATTCCCAGTACACTAGCAGCGGCAGCTCCCTGTGTAGGACCCACTGCCTAATATAGTGCTGGATAGGAGAGCAGCCTGGAAATATTTTTAATTCTATCTACAGGTCTTTCTGCAGGCATGAACACTTCCTCATTATTTACTGCAGTGCCTGGGTGCTTAGTGGAGCGGGTGGCGCTGTGGTCTAAACCACTGAGCCTCTTGGGCTTGCTGATCAAAAGCTTGGCAGTTTGGATCCATGCAACCTAGCAGTTTGAAAGCACACTAGTGCAAGTAGATAAATGGGTACCGCTGCCGCAGAAAGGTAAACAGCATTTCCATGCTGTCAGGGGCTCTCTGCACTCTGGTTTCTGTCACGGTGTTCCATTGCGCCCGAAGCGGTTCAGTCATGCTGGCCACGTGACCCCGGAAGCTGTCTGTGGACAAACACTAGCTCCCTTGGCCTGAAGCGAGATGAGCACTGCAACCCCATAGTCACCTTTGACTGGATTTAACTGTCCACAGGTTGTTTAACTTACCTTTTTACCTAGTATTCTATGTAGCTCTATAGAATTTTGACAGCAGTTCACATTATCTCAGTAATCCTTACAACAACCCTGAAAGGTAGCTCACTATTATCCCTATATTACAGTTGTGGGGCTGAAGCAGAGAGACTGTGGTTTCCCTGAAGCCTCAAAGAGTGTATAATAAAAGTGTGGTCTTGAACATCTGGGTCATAACTCAGTTTTAATTACTAAGTACATGAAGAAAGACATGTTGCATGCCAGTAGGATTGAATGATTTCTACTTATAATTAAGAGCAACCTTAGTGTGCACAAATTTTACTGGATTGTAGAAGTACACTGTAGGTATGCAAGTGGACAGCTGCTATATCCTAGAGCTGCTCAGCCCTGCAGGGGAGGTGAAAATACACAACCCCAAAATAAAATTTAAAAAAGTATATAAAAAAAGCAGACACACTCTCAAGTGTCCCCAGATGCATCTCCAAAGCTTACCCATTGCACTGTGCTGATCACAATGCTCACCAGACCCTTGTCCTATCACACCCCCTGCATCACAGCTTAATAATAATATCCATATATAAATCTGACACTGCCCCTTATGTTCCATTGTGGCAGATGTGGGGAACCTCAGACCTGAGATCCGGATTTGGCCCTCCAGGCCTCTCTACATGGCCCTTAGGACTCCTCCCCAGCCACACATCCCATGGCAATGGTCTCCAATAGCCCTGCTCTGAATCACATTGAGTGCTTTTGCATGAATGGAATGTGGCCTGGAACTGTGATAACACCCCTTGTTTGCCTAGATGGAGGATGTGGTGTGTGTGTGTGTGTGCGCGTGTGTGTGTCTCGGTGTGTAGAAACCTCCGACTCCTACTGTACACAATTAAGAGTCATATCTGTTAACCCATTAACTTTTGCTTCTGGCCCTGTCCGCCTCTGGCATGCAGCTCCTGGAAGGTTACCCATGAGGGAATGCAGTCCTTTGGCTAAAAAGGTCTCTCCCACCTGTCCACCTTCAAGACTTTTGTCCAAATGTTAAGGTTGGCCCAAGACATTTTGGCACCTGAGGCGAACCACCAAATGGCTCCTCCCTCCCCACCAGGGAAGAAGGGGTGAAGGAGGGGGAATAAAGTTCTACATCGGGATCTGTGGTCCCTGTGGATCCTGCTGTCTGAGGCAGTTGCCTCAGCTTGTCTCATAGGTGGGCCTGCCTGCCAAATTCATGTTCTTCACCACCGGGAACTTTGTTACAGAACTGAGGACAAAGCTTGTAGCAAGTAATGTAAGGTAGCCTCTCATTCATACGCTCATACTGTGCACATGTAAGAAAGCCACTGCTATAACAAAAGAGTGAGGAAAGTGGTACTGGTTGCTCTTCCAGCGATGCTGATGACAGCAGTGAGGGAAAACTAGTGTTTGTAAAGGCAGCTGTAGGCAACAATGAAATGCGTTCAACACTTACAGCGTTCTCTGGGAGAAATAGTGTCAAATGTTGCTATATCTTCGGTCAGCCTTGTGAAAGATGATTATGTTCACCACTGTAACTGAAAGCAATGCTACCACTTATCTGATTTAAATGTGAGCTTTTTACTTCCTGTTGCATCCCATGGGGTGCTAACGTTTCTTGTGTTAAGTAGAATAATAAAGGACCTTTTCCTTCCTCACTGATGATAAGGGAACACTGTAATCCAGCTATAGCACTAATGGCCTGTAACAAGTTTTAAAAATGTGAAAACCATGCAATTGTTATTTCAACTGGTTAAGTATGCATGCCTCATTACCGACACAACACCTTTCGCTTTATAGGATGGCTCTGAGTTCAAGTATATGATGAAATAAAAGGATGGAATGAGTTGTCAGCATTGTAAGCTGCTTTGGTTCTCATGTGCTGCTGTAATAAGTACTGTAATAGTCTGCACATATTTCAAATTGATGGCAAAGAAAATATAAAATGGGCACTGCACTCAGTGTAGTATCTTTGGCTTGTTAAATTGGATAAATAAATACATTTAAATTCATGTGTTAATGAATAAGGAGCCAAACCAGTTCAAGTGCAAGCTCAGCACCCATGCACAGAAGATTCTTGGATGAATGCTGGAGTATTTTAAAACCCCAAGACAAAGAAAAGGTTTGACTTCAACACTTTCATCACTCCCCACCACGGCAGATTCAGTCCAGTTGTCTCCAAAGCTGTTTATGATTCTGTCTGGATGGAACCAATACCAAAGAGAGTTGTTTAGACTGGGTAGTCATTTCTTCTCAGCATTGGCTTTATGAATATAACTTCCCATCCAATCAAAAATGTTTCCCCAAAGCATTGAGAATGCAGTACTGACAGTAGAAGTAATGTGTGTTCTCCAGGCACCAACCTTTTAATAATGTGTAGAGGGAACCACCAATTAAACCAATGTTTGGAGCCTGTGGACTCGCGGATGTTGTTGGACTCTGACTCCTATCAACCCCAGCAGCATGGCCAATGGTGAGGAATGATGGGAGCTGTAGTCCTGCAACATCTGGAGAGCATAGGTGCTCCCCTGAACTAAACTTACCTTCTCAAAGGATATTCAACTGTGTTCCCCACGCACCACACATGTAAATGCTGCACTACATAACATAGCTTTTTCTCATACCTTACAACTATGAATTGATCAATATGGTGCCTTTCTTGTATGTTTCGTGGCTTCCCCATTTCAGCGTCCCTTAGTTAAGCAGAAATAACTACAGCTCTTGGGTGCCTGTCAAGAATTCTAGAGAGGACCATTCTTATTCTTGTTAGATCTTTAGAGACAAGGACCTCTAAATATACACCACCATGATAAAGCATTTACCCACTCTTGAGTACACTTTGGATTTTACAATTCTGCCATTTAGAGTGTGTGCTACAAGCTTTGGGATTCTATAAACGTCCAGAATCGTTGCAGCGTATGACGTTGTGAACAATAAATTCATACACCACCAAACTACTTCTTGCAGTGGTGCATGATGACCTCACCTTTCAAAATCACAGCAGCATTTTAGAAATAGCCACAATCATGGAGAGGACTGCAAGTTCCCCAGGTGCATCGGCCAGAACACAGTAGCCTCTGTGTATAGGGATGTATAACTACATATAAAATCGCATAGGGAAGTTTGATAAGATGGGATATTAGCAATAGAAACTGGAATTTAATCTCTTTTCTTTTATAATATGGATTGTGTGTGTCCAGTATTTTGCAGGTGGGATTCAAGCATATGCCACAGGGATTGAGAGCCTTTGATCCTCCAGATGTTGCTGAACTACAGTTCCCATCAGCCCCATCAAGCATGGCCAAAGGCCAGGGATAATGGGAGATGCAATCCTGCAACATCTGGAGGGCCAAAGGTATCCCCCACCTGACATGTTTATGGGTAACAGAAAAGATATAGATGTTCATGTAAGAGAATATGCATATGTTTGGAAGACAGATGGAGTGGGGTGAGTAACATGTAGTTTGTCCCTCCCTGTGATCAACTATTGAATAAATGGGCCATCCCACCAACATTATTTTCACTGAACCGTACCATTAGTATGAAGCCCAAAGATTCTCTTGGTTTCAGTTTTGTTTGAATTGTATAAAGTGTCAAATATTACTGGAATCCTTAAGTAGACAAGCAAGAATTTCAGAAATTTATTGCAAAGTTTTACTGCTGCCAATTTACAGAGCAAGAGTTTGCCAATTTGATGATATACAGGTAAAAAACAAACTAGCACTTGGCTTTCCTTCCATGTCAGCATTGCTCATTTCAGAGATGATAGTCTGAAGACAGTTCTTCATACAAACTCCAACAAGAGATTGACATTTCTATGCTTTTTCATACTGACGAACAGCAACAATATCACCAAAGGTGAGGGTCTGCAAATTCAAGGAGAGATGGGGTGATTAGGACCAGTATGTGCCATTTGGACATAACACAAAATGATTCTTCAACAAGTCATTGTTGCAAAAATTAGCCTGCTTGCAGGCTTCCCACAGGCAACTGGTTGGCCACTGTGAGAGCAGGATAGTGCACTAGATGGGCCAGCCTGATCCAGCCAGCTCTTACGTTCAAAAATTGTGCAAACAGGGAAGGAGGAGGGGCCTCCTGCATAGTATATTACCTTATCAATACACTGCATTATGATTTATTTCATCAGTATATTGCGCAATGTGGTTCGAGTCAATAACCATTTTACCAAGGGCAAAGATGTTCACATTAGAATGTACCACTGCAGGTTTTGAAAACCATTAGGGTTTGAAAGAAGATATGGAACAAAATGCAATTTCAAGGGAAACCAAGGAATGAAGAGTAATAGAAGAGAAAGCCTCTTTACAGACCTTTCAATGATATGTTGAGAATTCTCATTAGATGTCTGAAGAAGAAAGTAATGGATTTTCTGCCAATATGTGACGGCAGGAAGAGGAATTGTTAGAACATTCCCAACTAACTTCCAGCTGAGGTTGCAATCCTAATCTTACTCAGCTAGGCGTAAACCCCAGTGCATTAAGTAGGATTTACTGCACAAGCCTAACCATGTCTACTCAGAAGTAAGATGGCTACACCTTGACTTTTTTAAAATGTTAATTATCAGTTTAGTTTATTATTAACATTGGAACTGCAGATGTTACTTCTGCTAAACATGTTCTGTATAAGTGGTCAGAAAGGGGGGGGGGAATTATCAGAAAGTTTGAGACATAAGACCTCATAGTGTTATCAACATGAGCATATATAGCCTCAATAAACCTTTATTTACATACCATGACCATTTTACCATCTTTGATTTCTCTAACGAAGTTTGTCTCTTTGCCATCCCATTTCTGTACATGAACTAACTTATCACCATCCATGGTCACCACTGACTGTGGGTATAAAGAACACACATTAAGTTTATCCAAATAATTCTGAGCCCATCTAGTCACAGTTAAGGACTTTCAAAATCTCTTTATTATCAATGGAAAAATTAATCACATGTGTAAATCTCTGAATTATTAGTCTGAAGCATTTATTTCAAATCAATGAACTTGGTAACAATAGTTAAAAACAGCTCGGTAATAAAATGCATACTGTATATAAAAAATAATTTGATTCTTATATGCGTAGTTGGTTCAAATAAAGCTGTACCAGAATTCATATTTGACCAGGTGTAGGGACCATTCACACATTTCAGTGAATGGTAATAGATGTCATCCAACCAAGTCATACTCAGTGTAGGCTCACTGAAATCAGTGGACTTAACATTTCAGTTCATTGATTTCAGTGGGTCTTCTCTGGGTATGATTAACATCATCCAGTAAATGGATTCAATGTTTAGTTGAAATCCTTCACTCTAAAAGTCAGATTGCTAAATACTAACGTGGAGTTTGATCTCAAGTCAAGAAGACAGGTTCTGATCAGAACAGAAGCATTTCTGGAACAGAACAAGGACCCATTATAATCCAGCAGATTCTGGACCATTTGAGACATAGTCATGGGGTGATGCATAATGGAGTCATGAATGTTCTTCAGATACACTATGCCTACCTTGCATGCCCAGAGGTCTCTGCTAAGGGGGTGATGCCACTCCCAGAGGCCTTGGAAAAGATGAAAGGCAAGTATATGATCACATCCCTATACTGAATGCATTTATTTAGAACCAGATCTCATTGGTTTGAACATATCTTCCAAGTAGGTGTGCTTTGTGTCATAACTTAGGTGGCCCAAAAATTTAATAAAACCCTATAACCTCATTGTTTCAATGTGCTGAATAAGTTCAAATAAATCATTCTTTATTTCATGCCAGTGCTATTTTTCTTGGAAAAGAGGTGCCAGAACTCACCAAGAACGCCTCCCTTGTTCTCTTATAATGGCAATGGGGCCTACCTGAGAAGTGCTGGAACTGAGTTCTGGTGAGTTCTGGCTGAAAAACAGCCCTGCTTAAAATTTACTTAGTGCTCCCATCAGTAACAGACAAAAAATATCTGTATTCTTTTACTTCCTGTCAATTCTGAAAGATTAGCTTTTTTTAAAAAAAGTCTCTGCAGCAGCTCAAGCTGTTTCTTACTTACTTTGCAGTTCCTGTCATCTGCGGTAGTTTCATCAAATTCTTCTCCCAGGTTGAAGCTGATTTCTGTGTTCTTGAAGGTACTCTGGGTTTTGATCACCACCTTGCCTCCTTCCTGGCAGATGATCACAGTTGGTTTGGTCACATTCCCAACTTGGCGAGTAGCAAAGCCAACTCCTAAGGTTTTTAAAAGAATTTAAAATGAAAATAATGAAACTGGGTTATTTTATATATTGGATTCTGAAGTTTAAAGGGGAGGAGGTCTTGCCGCCCTATTCAAAAAATCGTGTTTCCCCTAGAAACAAAGAAATTTTACAATCATCTAGTCCGGTTCCCTGCTCAATGTAGAATCAGTGCAGAATGCAACTACAGCACTCATGGCATCCAGCCATCCAGCCTTGGCTTAGATCCATCCCAGTGAAGTACTTAGATCTCCTTCTGCTTATTTATTGTATTTACATCTCACCATTCCATTGGTCTGTTCAAGACTGCTCACAAAATCAGAATTGTGCAAGAGATTACACTGAATCAAGATAAAGTGATTGTAATAAAGATGTGAATGTTAAGTCTGCAATCCTAGTGCAGTTACATGGGACTTCCATGAGAGTCAACCTGCAAAGGAGAAGATCGCATGAAATTTTATTTTTCTGTTCAGTCATCTACTTTGCAACTCATTGCATAGTTGTCTATGCATATGGAGATTCCCCCCTCTTCCAATACTTGCTTGAGCTAGCTCACTGAAAAGCAATAATGAGATATAGAATCATCAGTGATGCAATTCGTTAACCTTGTCTACTGACTGCTGCATTTTGCTCACACAATGACATTTTTGCTCTAATCAGCACCAGGTTTATATTTGCCTTTGCTACTGCAACAGATGTCATTTATTTTCCACAAAAAATAAAGCGACATAAAGCATGGGCCGTCCATTACAGAGCTAAGCCAGTGCACCCTCATTGTCCCTCAGCTGCTTTTTAATTCACACACAAAACAGTTCCCACAACAGCTATACTGAAAGAGAATTTTGTTTCCAATTCTATTATGCTCAAATATTTACTGCGATGAGTATTTTAGTCTATTAATTTCCAATGGAACTTTTTAATATGTGTGCTTGAGTATCATATTGTTAGGCTAAGATTCCTGAAAATATTTACTTGGGAGTAACATTCATTCAAATGATGCTAGCAGTATCTATGTTCATTTACACCCCAATCCTAACTATATTTTCTTTGAAGCAAATCCACTTGATTTAATAAATATAAGTGCACTTCCAACCATACATGATTAGAATCTCAGCCTTAGTTCATTCAGACTTACTTCTTCACAAGCATATTTAGACTTGCAAACAGCATTTACCGGTACTTAAATTCAAGCATTTGTGGATTAGTTCATACCGGTCTAAATTACAGAACATAGTTCATCTTCCCTGTGGCAATGCATGCTTATTTAAAATATTAAAATCATTTTTCGGTCAGTATCACAAGACTTACATTGCTGTAATGGGTTAGCACGCTGCAAAATCCCAAACTCTATAACTGTGCTAAAGAAGAAACAGTCACAAACCGCATGAGTAGATTACCTAGGATGACCTGGCTTAAGCAGTTACTTCTACATACCCAGTGCCTTCATGTACTCATCAAAGTTCTGGCTGTCAATCAGCTTCCAGGTAGCACAGAATGCCTCGACCATTTTAGCTGTTGAATGAGAGGGATAGACAACTGCTGGTGCGAGAGCAGGTGTTACTATTCCTGTGTTAGAATCTTGCACCTTCACTCCAGCTCAGCCCCTTCTTTACTGAGAGAAGAGGCATGCAAACTCGAAAATAACTTAAATTGGAGGCTCCACCCAGGCCTCCTCATTGCTCCTTTGAGGCAGAGTAAGGGGGGGGGGAGGAAGGTTTCCAGTCTGTTAGATGATTGGATCAGGCCACTGGGTCAACAGAGCTGGTTGGACCAGCCATCCTATTCAGATTGGAAATCAGGGGAGGGAGAAGAAGAGGCTCTTCTGTGAGTGAGGGGAATGTAAAAATGTCTGAGGGTCTTTTAAGTTGTGTTTGAAAACTTGGCATAGGGAGGTGGCGGCCTCAAAAGGGAGAGCCACACAATAAGACATTCAGATTAGTTTCCACTGAAACTCTATATGCTGGTGAAGATTTTAAAAAGACACTGGGCTGTTATTTGTCTTGCAAAGAAAACCAGGGATTAACCCCTTGTTCCCTAAAAAGAGGAAAGTATGAAAGATAGAATTAGCATATCTGCCCACTCCTCCTCTCCCCCAACCCATGCTAAAAAGGAATTAAATATATCAATAGGTTTCCCCAAGGAAAATGGAGGGTATTTAAGAAGTGAGATATAGTATAAAATATTGTTACAACAATGTCACTTAACGCAGTGCACACAAAATATTTTTTTCTGACTCTGAATAGAGACAGGCCCAAAGATCTGTGACTTAACACTGACTGCTTCCCCCCGCCCTTACGTGCAGAAGTATGGGTCACCAAGAAAACATGCAATAACTCTGTAGTTAAGTGATACAGCACATGCATTCGAAAGGTGTCAGCTTTTAGTATCTCCAAGGAAGGGTTAGGTGAGAACCTCACCTGAAACCCTGGAAGACTGCTGACAATATTGAGTTAGATGGACCATAAGGCAGTTTCCTGTGTTCGTAGCAATAATTTTGGGGAAGGTCCTAGCTCAGTGGCAGAGCATCTCCTTTGCATGCAGAAGCTCCCAGATTTTATCCCCGGCATCTCCCAGTAGAACTGTCTCTCGTCTGCAATCCTAGAAAGCCACTGCAAGTCACTATACTGAGCTGGATGGATTAATGGCCTGACTCAGGATGAAGCAGCTTCCTAAATTGCTAGGTAGATAGCCACTGTGACAGTACTGGGTATATGCTTCCCACCATTGTCATACCTTGCACATACGAACATGGCATTCAGGGATAACAAATCCAATGGCCTCTTCTTCCAATCACCAAAGGAAATCAAGAGAACTGGAGCGACACTTTTGCTATGCAGGAACAGCTGCCCCAGAGTTACTTGATCCATTTTAAGCTAGTTGATGCTGTGGTGTAGGGTGCTGAATTTACTGGGATTCTGTTGCTGCGGTATTTGTTGCTTTTACTATATTTTTACTGTTTTATTGTGAATTGCCTGGAGATTTATTTTTAATGGAAGGCAATGTAAAAGTATTTAAAAATAAATAACTAAGCCCCTCCTCCCGCACAGACATGCAACAGACCCTCCAAGTGTCCCTATTTTCCAAGGACAGTCTCAGATTTACAGAAGCTGTCACGGTTTCTGATCCGATCCAGGAATGTCCCACTTTTCCTTAGGACGTCTCTATTTTCATCGGAGAAATGTTGGGGGGCAAGCACGCAATCCCAGGAGGAGCTCACAGCACTCCTATGACCTTACGGTTAGGTGGCCAACTTTGGGCTTGGTTTCATTTCTCCCCCACCCATTGAATGCTCAAAAAGGGGCATGGCTCTGTATCTCCTTACTATCTAAGCACGTCCACCATTTGAAAGCATCCTTTTTGATAGAACCAGGGCCATCATGGAAATTTCTCAAGAGACAAATAGTTGCAGGAATCTGCCTTAATCTTTCCGCTGTGATAAGGTCTCCTAAACTCTTTAGAAATGATCAAATCCTGTGTACACAGCTATCTGACAGTGAAATTCCATGGACCCGGTGAAATTCCAAGGACTCAGAAGGCTAGATTACTATTTGGCTCATCCATACTGCCATTTAATGTGGATAGTAAGCTTCTTGTGCCGCCAGCAATTTTCCACTGCCCTTATGATGTTTTTCTCCAAATCACTGCCTTCCCACACTTTTTGCTCCCTCAATCCAGTTTTTCTCATACCCTCTTCTTCCCAGAGTGTCCTGGCATGAGATGGTATGTGGTGACTCCCTTTCTCTTGAGATCATCTTCTCTCCCAGCTCAGACAACCCTTGATGTTTAAGTGTCTTCTAAAAACATTACTTGTATCCCCCCTGCCTTTGCTGTTACATTGTTATAATTGCTTTTCCTTTACTCTTGCTGTTATGAGCTGTGTTTTAAACTGCATTGCAGTTGTAATGTTATGTTATTTTAAAACTTTTGTACACTCCCTTGAGACCAGTGTGGGAGGTGTCATAAAAATGTATTAATAAATAATATATTCTAGCTGTGCAGCATGTGTTAGCCACAGCTCAATAGTGTGCAGGGCATTGCTAGTCTACGACTTTATCATCAAACCATAATGCAGTTTGCATAGGAGTTTCTGTGTGTTCGGAAGTACTGTGCAGAGAGGAAAATCCACGTCCAAGACAGGTTCTGTTCCTCAAAAGTTCAGCTAACACAAGCCTTATTGAGCTGAAGGCCTGGAACAGCTTAGGCTGCAGGACATTAAATGGTAGCATGCTTCACTTCAAATGGGTGCAGAGTGCCATCTACTGCTTGCAGCAAGCAATACCAACTTTGTCTGTTCTTTGCGGCCCCTTCACCTTATCTTGGAACTTTACAGCTTGTAAAGAACTGTGGAAACAAGCACAAGACTTTGCACAATGGTTTTCATATTTTACAACATTAAGGTAATATGCACTCCAGTTCATCACATTTAGCTTTGGAAAATAGATGCAGAATCACTGACATTCAGGACATGATTGACTTGCATGTGATGAGGAAATGTGACCTTTCTGAGTGAATTGTAGGAAAGCATTTACCTTTACCTGTAGGAAAGCATTTTCAGAATACTGTAGTATCTACCACTATCGAATATTTCAATTACCCCATCCCCCAAATGTGGGACTCAGTGGGGTGGAACCAGGGCTGGGTTTAGGTTTGCTGAGGCCCTAAGCTACTGAAGGTAATGGGGCCTTTTATACGTCCAGCTGTCCTTTGTCAACAACAAATTGCCGCTGTTGTTTGTGTTGAATATATGCTATATGGTAATTTATGGACCTAATAGGTATCTAAAGCCATTTGTACATAACAAATAGGAGCCTACACAACACAAAACACTGTTGCTGTATGTTTTGTTTTATTTTTATCTTATATTTTGGAAATGTACATCCAGTTTTTTCTTTAATTTTTTTTGGGGGCCCCCAAGAGAGTGGGGCCCTAAGCTATAGCTTGTTTAGCTTATACGTCAATCCAGCACTGGGTGGAACACAGTGTAGTACCAAGTGGGGTATGTGCACATGGAATGAGGTTCGCTTGCACAATGAGACTTTCCCCTCCTCTATTCCCTGAGTTTCTCCTAAACTTGTTCTGGTTTACCCCTCAACCCTCCAGAATAGACTTGGGGGGGGCACAGAGGAGGGAAGAGGGGGGGAAAGTCTCCTTGTGCAAGCAGGCCTTTTTCCATGCACACGACTCAGCTGAATCCTGCCCAGAGGCAGGCCACAACATTTGGTACAAATTGCTACAGGCTTGTCGTGGAGCATAGAAGGATGAATGCAGCATCTGTGGTGTGAAATAGAGGGGAGGAGAAACCCATTTCCCTATCACATGATGTTTTTTGCAGCAGAGAACAAGGTATGCTGGAGCTGCATGCAATCTTCTTATCAAGAGACTGGCTAGCAGAACCCAGCCTGGCTGCAGTCAAATGATGCCATAGGCCTCCCTGAAGAATACTGAGCTACAGTAGATGAACCAATGATCTGACTGGTCCTCAGGCCATTTCCTGTGTTCCTAACAAGTGAGAAAATTCTGCTTTGCTGACTTGTCACTTGCAAGGCCTATAACAACAAGCAATTGCTAGGTATCTGATGTATACATTATTTTTTCTAGCTGATAGCCAAACTTCCGCTTGGGTCAATTCTTGGCAAGGAAGGATCGTGATCATCTTGCCTGTTTCTAATTTCTGTATTACATGATAGTTCTGTATGATGCTGATGCCTGGCATGTGGTAATGATGGCGATTATTGGCACAACTGTACAACCCACTACATTTTGCAACTCATTACCCAAGGCATCTTTGGCAGTGCCTGGAGGCAGATAGTCAGGTTGTGTATCCACAGCAGTGACCAGAGGAGGAATGACTGCTGGAAGGAATGCAGAGAGAAGAAACATCTATAACAGCGGAACTAGATGCCTTCATCTGCCCCACCTGCAATAAAACATGTCTCTCCTGTATTGGTCTCTACAGCCACAGCAGGTGCTGTAACTCTCCAATGGTTTGACTTTACCCCAAAGGTACACTCTTCCATTGTCTCCCAAGACAGATGGATGCCAACAACAACAACTTCTGATGCTAGAGCAAATAACAAAGTTGGATGGTACCCCATCCAAAAATATACTGCTATGGGTGCAAGAATTCATACAAGTGTGCTCTTGAATTGCTGTACAAATAACATATGCAGTTTATTTTAAATACAACCTTTATTATAAAACGTGAATCAATCCTTTGGTACAGGCAAAATATATATTGAAAGAAAATGCTTTGAATGTTGATTTTAACAGGATCAGTTATGAGCCAATAAACCCACATCCTAACTCAAGTGAAAAGTTTGCGTCCCTGGGTCTTGTGAAGACACGAGTGACAAAAGACAAAGACCAAAAGAAGAGATAACCAATTTCATTTTTCATGCTGAAATGAAATAAAAGTTTAAATCAATTACAAATGCCACTAGTTCACTTTAGAAACTTATGGATACACAGAAGGTTGAGATCACTGGATAAGTCAGATTTGAGAAAGGGCAGCGCAGAATGCTCTCAAAAGGATTTTAAAATCCTAAGTGATCTCAGTGCCTTGTGACATTTTGAAGGAGTGAGGAAAGAGTGTTTTTCATTTTCCTCTGTATACCAGGATGTCTCTAGAGTCCAAACTTCAAAAGG